TCTCTCTCTCTATCTATCTATCTATCTATCTCTCTCTCTATCTATTTATCTATCTCTCTCCCTCTCCCTCCCTCTCTAGCCTTGTATGCAAGCATGTTGTGTTGGCCTATGTGTACAGTAAGCCACAGGACATACTCCCGACTTTCCACATGAACCCTCAGCAACAGACACTTTGACATCAGGTTACAGCTGCGTTGCGCGTGACGCAGACCAGACTTTATTAAAAGGAAAAGTTATCTCAGCATTAACAATGACATTCAAATCAAATCCGCCCCCGCCCTATTATGTCCTTGGACAGTATTAGAAAAGACCCGCTTAGCATACTCGCCACTTTTCCTGTTGTGACACGAAGGCAAGAGCGGAATAAGTACAAGTGGCATTCATGGTCAAAGGGAAATAACCACATATTTTGAAGATTTTAAACGATGGGAAGCCCCATAACTTTACATGCATCTTATTACTAGTGTTACTTCCCTTGGTTTAACTCAAATTTTGGTCTTTATTCTTTTTTTTTTTCATACTAAAACATTGTAAGGTCAAGTTCACAAACTCTGCTTTTTGACACCCACAAGTAATAGGTGACATGTTGCGGGTTCCAGGGTTCGAGCCGCGGGCCTGATGTTGTGTCCTTGGGAAAACACTTTACACGAATTCTCCTCGCTTCCCCCAGGTGGGAATGGGTACCCGGCTAGACGGCCATAGACAACGAAAGATCTTGTCAGTATGTTAGTGTTTCAGCGCCTATAAACGGCCGCTTGCACGGTATGCTTCCCAATAAGTTGAGATTGTTTCAGAATGCTCTCAGGTCTGCTGGGGTTATAATATAGATTGTGAAGCGCTTAGAGCTTGCTGTTGAGCGGGGATTTGCGCAATACAAATGCTATCTATCTCTTATCTGTGCTGCAAGACGGACGGACTTAATCGAAAAGGTTCATCGTTTTGGTTTTTTTTTTGGGGGGGGGTTCTTTAACTCCTGGTCCAAAGGTTGCTGAATTTCAACATAATTTAATTAAGCAACAGCTATAATGTCGTGTGTGTGTGTTTTTAGAAAGGATTTGTTTACAAAGACAGCAACAATAGATACTGGGGGTCTTTTTTTTTATAGTGTTTTGGAAACAATTTAACAGCTTTTGTGTGTGTGTGTGTGCGTGTGTGTGTGCGTGTGTGTGTGTGTGTGTGTGTGTGTGTGTGTGTGTGTTAAATCGTTTCAAACCGTTTCAAAGATAAATAACGTGAACTTTTCTCTCTCTTCCACCGCCTCCCATCCTCCACCCTTGCACCCACCCACCCCCACCACCCCACCCTCAGGGTACGAGCACGGGTGAGATGTGCTGGCACCACTTCCAGATGCGGCTGAACCGGACCATCGAGGACGTGGTGTGTTTTGCCAAGAAAATCCCGGGCTTTGCCGAGCTGGACCAGGACGACCAGATCAGTCTCATCAAGGGAGGGTGCTTTGAGGTGAGTGGGGAGGTCTGGAGGTCTGGCACCTAACACTCGGGTCGGGAGGGGGGGGGGATTGGTGGAAGAGGGTGATACATATGTATTCTAAAGGTTATGGGGTTTTGTTTTGTGTTTTAGTTTTGTTTATTTGTTGTATTGTATGTTGTTGTTTTTTGTGGAGTGAGCTTCCCTTTGTTTGCTCGTTTCTTGTTGTTGTTTTGTTTGTTTTTTTGTTGTTGTTTTTTTGGGGGGGATGGAGTTGGGGGGGGTGGTTATTATTTGGGTGGCAAGGCTGTTAATCTGTAGATGTGATGTCGATTGGGAAAGGGAGTTGTCTGAAGATGAAATGTGTAAAGAGGGGGGGGGGGTGGTAGGAGGTTGTTCAAACAAACACAACACTGAACAGAAACTCTGCCTGTTTCTTCCAGGTGGCGTGCGTAGTTTGTGCCCCGTTCATCGACGCAGACACCAACTCCATCTTCCTGCTGGGCAACAGTTCCATCGTGCTTCGTGATGAGATGAAGTGTGGCTTCCCCCTTGGGGAGCACTTCGTGGAGCTGCTCTTCAACCTCTCCAACAGGCTCAATGCTTTCAGCCTCAGGAACTCGGAGAAGGCTCTCTTCAGCGCTCTTGTACTTATCTCTCCTGGTGAGTCTGGTTTAAGAAATGAGTCTGTTTTGAGTGATACAGTCGAACCTGTCCAAGAGGATCACTGATTGTTGAGGAGGAAAGTGGTCATCTTAGACAGATGGTCTTCTTAGGCAGTGACATAATTTAATTTAAAGAACGTAAGCGGCGAATGAGAAGTGGTTGTTTAGACAGCTGATATACATGTATCATGTAGTGGAGTTGGTTATCTAGTGGTTAGGCCACTGGACTCGTAATCTTGAGGTTGCGGGTTCTTGGAGTTCGAGCGTCAGGCGTGACATTGTGTACTTGGGAAAGGCACTTTACACGAATTCTCCTCCCTTCACCCAGGTAAGATTGGGTACCTGGCCATGGACAATGAAAGATTTTGTCAGTATGTTAGTGTTTTTGCGCCTATTAAAAAAATGGCGGCTTGCACTGTATGCTTCACCTGAAGTTGAGATTGTTCAGAATGTTATCAGGTCTACTGAGGTAATTATATAGATTATAAAGCGCATAGCGCTGAGTGGGAATTTACGTAATACAATTACTGTCTATTATTGTTATTATCATACATGTGATACAAGATGGGTGGTATTGGGTGTTTTTTTTAAGGGGATCACACTATACATATGCACATTTTGAAAAATATCTATTTATAATATGTATATATGCCAGGTAAGGTGTATCATTTGAAGTATGTGCTCACCTCCCCAGATCGTCCTGGTCTCAAGAACAGGGAAAAAGTCTCCAAGCTGCAAGAGCTGTTGATCCAGGCCCTCCAGTCGGAGATCAGCGCCTCTCACTCTGACGAAGGCGGCTTGTTCCCGCGACTCCTCATGTCTATCTCCAGCCTGAGAGAGCTTGGAGTGGAACACCGCAGGATGCTGGAATCCCTCAAGGGCCAGATGAGCTTCCCTCATGACCTGTACGCAGAGACCTTTGACCTCATCCCTTGACATCAGTGCTAGCCAACGCTCCTTCAACCTCCTTAGTGCTAAGGGGTCATACGTTGTGTCGATTGGCTAAGTGGTTCCTGTGTGGAGACTTGATGTTCTGTCTCTCTCTTTGTGCAGTGAGGAGATGTGTAGAATTTCAGATCCTGTTCCTAGAGCTGAGTGGTGAGGATGATGATGATGCTGATGAGGGTGATGATGATGATGAAGAGGAAGAAGATGATGACTGAAATGGATGCTGATGATCAACGAGTTGCTTTATGAAGTCTTGGTGAGGATGACGAAGAGGACAGTGATCAGAAGGAAGATAATATTCTATTCCTTAAATGGATGCTTTATTGAGTGGAATCATTGATAATAATGAATGGACTGTGGACTGACTCAAAAAACAGGTGAATACTGTCTCTGCTTGTCACATATCATGTTACCATCATTTGTTGATTGGCTCTTTTAAAGTGAGCGAGGGGAAATCAGGAAATGTTGAGGCTCTTGCTGCAGGGGAGATGGTGTGTTGAAACACTAGGAGTTTCTGTTACCCACAAGGGTTTCCCAACACTGCCATAGTCTCTGGGGTTTGAAGAAGCAATGGATGTGTGACCTGGGAACAGAGACAATGTATTGGGTCAAATGGGACTGTGGTGCTGACGTTGAGGCAAATCAGAAAGGTTTCACGTTGTGTTGTTTTGATGATAGATGAACACTCTGGAAAGTTCTGGAGAGATCAACACAAATGTCCAGATTCCTTTGATGTGATGTGAGTGACAGCCCAGCCCCCTTCCCTTCCAGAAGAGACAAGTGAAGAAGATGAGTGTTTCTTGAGCACCCCCCCGCCCCTCCTCTCCTCCCGCCACATTTGCCACTCTCATTATTCAGACGACCGCTGGTCATTGCAAGACCCTTCCATTCCATAGCAGGCACTGTGTAGCAAGCAGCCTCTCCCTCATTGTTGTAGCACAGATCTGTGCCCACTTTGTCCACTATCCCGGTGAATTTTTTTCCCCTGTGCTCTACCAGTTCCGAGCCGTCATGTGAACTATATATATATATATGTATATATATATATATAATATATATATATATATATTATATATTTATATATATATATATATATATATATATATATATATATATATATATATATATATATATATATATGTATAATATATATGTATGTATATGTATGCGAACAACCTCCCTTGGGGATGGTTGCTGTGTCATCTTGTGAGGAACTTTTCTCAAGGTGGATCAAATTGTAGCAGAGAGATATGCAGAAGCCCTGCTAAACCTTTTATTTTGTTATTCCTGTATATCAAATGTCATTTGCAATTCTGATTTAGGAAACATTTTCTCTGAATATGTGTTGAGGTTTGGAACATTTTGATGGAATGCAAAATGTGTTGTCTGTTTGTAGAAGTGTAGAAGAGTTATTGACTATGTTAATAGTAAAATCTGAAAAATTCTTCATGTCTTGAAGGGCGGGAGGGTTTGCATTTTACTAGGACCTGTTTCCTTCCATCAGGCACTGCGTTCATCTGATCTTGACATCACTTTTTACCACTGGTCAGCATTATGCTGTTCATGTTGATTTCACCTCTAAAGACTGACCGTTTTTCTTTACCATAGCCATTCAGGGTGAAAGTTCAAAAAGCAGTATTGATTTCGTCCTAACATCAGGAATTTCATTTTCCTCCTGTAAGTTATATAAGATAAAATGTATCATTTGACTTTAGTAGTTACAAGTGAACTGTTTCAAATGAATTAAATCATTGAACCATCAGCAGTGCTAACAAGCAGTAATTTTTTTATATAAGGACAGTTTTCAAAAGATGAAACAAGCTTTTTGGGTCCACATGAGTATGGCTAAATCTTGTAGCGGCTTTGACACAAAGTTTGATGATGAATATGTACTATAGTGAGTGAATGTCTTGTCTAAGGAACTCTAAGGAACTGAGTCACTTCACGAGAGACAGTTGCCTTTATGATTGATTAAGTCAGCAAATTTTTATCAAAATTCCATCTGCAACTCTGTGCTCGGTCAAGTCTTAATCGTCATGAATGCTTTAAGGCCTGTGGAATTTATAGTATTCAAAAAACTTTTTATTATAATTATAGTTCTAGTTAAGGGATTTTGAAGAAAAAGTAAGGTCCTGCATCAGGATTTGACCAGGGGTGATGAGAAGGAAAAAGATGAGGATGCTGTGTGTGTAGGTTGCTTGATGAGTGACAGAAAGTTTTGCAGTGAGTGATGACGCTGAGAATCTTTGTTGACCATGTGAGACAATCTTTGTCTTCTTTGCTTTGATCATGCTACGGTGACCACAACTGTGATATGTTCATACTACGTCAAGTGTGGGCGACGCCATTTGATTTTTTTTCTCCTGAATTGAAGATTTGTTCCACGTTGTTTGGGTTTATTTTGCTTTGTTTTGGTTTGTACAGTTCATTGATGTGAACAATAATGGGTTTGCCTCTGCATTCAATACAATGTACATTGGTTTAATTAATGATCATAATGCTGAGATGTCAATGAATAACTTTGTCTGTACATTTGTTGATGATGTTTTGACTTGTAAAGATTCCTTTATTGTTCGCTTATTTCATTTTATATTTTTTTCTCAAGTGTAAATATTCAAAATTTTGCTTTCCTGTGAGTGTGAATGTGAAGAGATTGACCTTCATTTTTATGTTAGATACATCATCAGTAATTTTCTTAACTTCTGTCTGCACCATCACTTGCTCCGGATTTGCATAGTTTGAAAAAATTCTCGGACAGTACAACCAGTCTAGTGTTAAGTCTTGTCACTCTTTCAACACTGACCTTACTCTTGTTAGTAACTGCTACTATAAATCAACACTGGTTTTCTGATGTTTTTCAAAGTGTTGCCTATTTAAAAGAAAGCAAAGTCTGTTAATCTTGTCATGAAAATATTCAAGATAAGTATGAAGTCGTTCCTTTGTTTCAGTTCAGTTGTAGCGTGTGTAGTCCATATATACATTAGAGAATTGTTTATATGGTAAATATTTTAAACACGTAAGTTCGAGACTGCTCATTTATAAAGTGCTGTCTTTTGAAAGAAAAGAAAATCAGCATCATATAGGGTGGATAGAATCATTCCCTGATTTCTGTTCAAACAAAATAGCAGTAATCAGAGAAGGATTTTGTTCTCAACCTTCATGGTATGGACAGGCAGCAAGCCTGATCATGTATTTCCTGGTGTGGAAATGGACGGTGGTTGAAAAAACGAAAACTTTTCTCTCCTCGTCTGTAGCCTTCTTCCCTGTCTTCTTTGCCTCGACGGCAGATTCCTCCGGTGTAACGTTACTATCATATTTCATGATGTCAAAGTATTTTTTACCTTTTTTGCTTTTGCAATTCTTCTTTACATTTGCATGTATTGTGTAAGCTGTGTATAACCCAGTGAAGGTCTGACATGTATCATATGAGCTGTTTTTAATCCCAGTGAAAGTCCTACATCTATCATACGAGCTGTTTAATCCCAGTGAAAGTCCTAGCATGTTTTGTGTGAGCTGTTTATACCCCAATGAAGGTCCTACATATGAGCTGTTTACAATCCCAGTGAAAGTCCTTTGTGTAGTGTGTGAGCTACTGGAGACTTTTTTTCATTTTCCGGTAATGTATGAATGTTCTTTTAGAAAAGCTTGGATAAGTTTGCCTTCTTTTCTGACAGAGGATGCTGCGTTGTCATATATCAGGAGAGAACAAGTATTCATGCCCAGGCCATCTTGCAGTATGTTTTTACCAGGCTGTTTTAGTTTCTCGTCAATGGGGACTTAAATTGTCTAAAGTATCAGAACCTTATTTAACAAAATTTGTTAAATGAGTCATTTTGCGATGTGCTCATGCTGTGATTTTGCAGAGGTCAAAAAGTTTAGCTGGCTTACTTCTGTAACTCTGTTCCCAAGTGAAGTCCCTTTGTAAAAACTTGTTCTTTGTTAGTTTTAATTTCAGATGATGTTGTGGCTTTACATTTTGCTTGTGCAAGTCTCACCAATATGTGCAGCCTGATTCAAAACACTTGTCATAGTCTCATATATAGTCTCTAGTGAGTGTGGTGTTCTTGAGTCTCAGGCAGTTTTTCCTATCGTCATCTCACTGCTGTTGAGATTGATTCTTGCCAGCTCGTAAATGTCCCAATCTCAAACAAAAGAACTGAGAAGTGATGATTAAGTCGCAAACTTGTTCAAGGTTTTGGTTTTGCTTTTATGTTTCCCTCATACTTCAAAGTTCGTCTCAAGTCTAGGAGAAACCTGTTTAATATTAATATTGCAATATATAATCTTTCAAGTATTTCTGAATTTATGTTTCTCATTTGATACTCATGCTCCGGTGATTTGATGGAATTTTTTTTTGTTTGAAACTGTTGCTTTTCCTGATATGCATGCAGACTCCAGTGTCAGAATCTGCCCGGTGAAATTTGTGTTGCTTGGCAACATGAGTTTGTTAATACGCTGACCTTGAGCCAAAACGATCCATTTTCAAATCTCAACTGTTGCAAATGGAACGTTTTCACTCCTTGCCAAGGAATAGCTCAACCGTCAAATGTTTATTTTTTGCCTTTTTGTCTTCTACTAAACAGGTTTGCCAAGTCCCCGACTTCCGAGTCGTAGACCACTAGTACCATTTGTCCGGGATCAGAGACATCAAAGAATTTTGTTTGTAGCACATGAACCTGAAATGTCTGTGAGCTTTTTTCTGGTTTTAAAAAAAATTTCTCTCTCCAATCCAGGTTGATTCTACACTCTCCCTATTTTTCTCCCCGAATGCAGGTGTTACACATATTCGTTGTTTCTTGAAGGTTTTTAATCATTTTTACATTATTACTTTGTTAATTTCTCTCTCTAAAACCAACCCAACTTAACATACAATTCTCTTTTATGATAATGTGAAGGTGGCTTTGTTTTTTTACTTTGATTGATAAAGAAACGTCTGTTTTTCAATGCAGTTTGAGTAAGACTTTGAAGTCATCTTATATTTATCAATATGAAGAACTAGAAAATACATTGAGGTCTCCCTTGGCTTTCAAAAAGTTCAATGTTTCCAAAATGGCACCTGATGCGAAAAAGGTGGGAAAAAATATTCTTTTTTGACCATATGGTCTGGAGTAGTTACAGGGAGTCGGTACAGTCTCTGGAGTACAGTTACAGGGAGTCGGTACAGTCTCCGGAGTACAGTTACAGGGAGTCGGTACAGTCTCCGGAGTACAGTTACAGGGAGTCGGTACAGTCTCCGGAGAAAGCTGCATATGCTTCCAAGGAACTTCACCTTGCTATATAAAATAATAATAATTTATTGTTCAATATTTTCCATATATACGTGGAGGGTGGGATGTTGTTAATGTTTGTTCAGTCACCTGTTGTTCAAATGGCTTCACAAGACACAAATGGCATGAATGAGTTTCTCTCATTATCATTATTATTGTTTTATTTCATTGCCTGAATTCCCCTGAGCTCCAAAGTGTGTCTGGGCAGAATGGCATATATCCTCGTACAAAAGTTTTATCATTTTGTTGAACCCGGTGAGCAGTGCAGTTGGTTTGCGTTGGTTTGTGAGTGTGCTTTGAGTGTTTGTTCTTCTACATCATGATGCTATCCACAGGTGTGTTGAGAGTGGATGAAGTGGCTAATTTTTACATAAAAATACTATGACATTTCTGTTCTTTGACTTCCATGTTTGTGTATAGAATACACTGGTATGTTTTCTTGTCTAGCTTTGCTGTTTCTTGTATGTCTGATATATTGGTTGTACGTGTACAATTTGAGCAGGGCATGTGGAG